GCTCGTCTGATCCTCTCTGATGAGTTCACAACCTGAGCAGCAAGTATCGTTCAGCAAGTCAAGAAAAGGAATAGCTCGGGTAGTGCCCTGAGCTGCCTGCAAATCAACACCTGAGGCCCCGTGTATGAATCCACACAACCGGAGAGCGATCCTGGACCTGCGTTGCTTTTGAAAAATGTTCTGGTGATGGATGACAGATGGATTAGGCCTTGTAGTCTGTATAAAACAGATATAAAACAAGCTCTGCCAGCAGGAGTCGAACAACTCATCAGTGTAGCAATGGATAACAAAAAAAAGGTTTCCATAGTAGCAGCAAAAAAGAAAGATTTGCACTAGAAAGGCAGGAGGTTTGCTGTTGTTTTGTTGATTTTCGGGACCTTCTACGCAAGCAAGCAAGAGCCAGACTGACTGTCCAGACAACAGGTATGGCGGAAGCAGCATCTGTAGCCCAGCACAGCCAAATGCCCCCAAAATACTGTGCTTCTTGCAAATAAAGCCTAACTGGGTTCAGCTGGTGACAGACCATCATTGCATTATTGTTCCACGTTAAACAGTCAGATAACACTAGTAGTGACCACCACAGTGCTGACACTTCAGCTTGTGTTACGCTCCGGAGAAGCGGCAGACTGGCATTCAGACCCAGTTTTCCACCAAGACCAAGAGAAGGTAAACTCCAGCTGGTGGTGAGTGGCAAGGGACCAGCAATCACCTTGTCTCTCGGAAAGGACTCCGGATTTGGCAGCTGGCAGAGGTGATGCCCCTGGGCATCTCCTGCCCCAGACAGTGCCAGATTTCCCTGCAGCTGCAGACCATGCAAACAGCGGGTGAGGCTGAAAGGAGTGGCGGGATGCCTTCAGCTGCCTCCCATGCCTGAGCCTGCAACCACCACCTCACTGGCCCCAATGCACTCGTCTGGAGCGAGAGCAACTAAACGGAGGACAGAAAGTCCCGAAGGAGGCTTTTCATCAGTGCCCATTGGCCAGCCCTGCATGCTGGCAACCTCAGTTTCTTTCCATCCGCAGAGTGAACACCCCTGTTTTCACACCCAAGTCCCATATTGCAGAGTATGTGAGCTCTTAGAGCCACTGAATACCAATTCATCACCTGCTCCTGTAACACCGCGGGCCTGGAGTTGTCACTGGATCATTCAGCTGAAGGTTAAGCCACCTCATCTGCTGCTTACTGTATATTTCTGCCGCCTCGCCCACTAGCAAACTCGCCATCCAGTGCTGTCAGATGGGGGTGGCATCGCAGGACTGATCATCAGATAGCACCAGTCAATGGGAACAAGAGATCTTTTCCTGAGCAGTTATTATATGCTTCCGTAAGGTAACGGATACAACAGTGCTCCAAGGCCGGGCTTACAAAAGCACAAAGGACTGTTTGGGGTTTTTTTTTTTATTCAAAACAACCTGCCTCTCCATTACTGGCTCAAAACAGCCTCTTTCCTCCAGCACTCCTTCGCATCAGAAAAGTCTGTGCTGCTGATGTTTTTAACTTGTGGTACACATGACTGATTTTGGATAGTCTGTGGGATGGAGGTAAATGCTAAACTCGTTAAGGCAATGCAGGTCAGGAATTACTCCACTGAGAACATCAGAGCCAGACTTAAGGATCAGCTCCGGTTTGCAAACTCTATTGCTCTAATGTGCCTAGGTAGCACTGTGAAGCCATCAGGTGGGAAATATTCTGCTTTTCAATGAAACAAAACATTTCTGTTCGGATGCCTCCTAAGCGAAGAAAGTGCCCTGTCAGGGTAATGAAGTGCTTAATTAAAAGTACACTCAGACATGCAAATGGCCTTGGACGCTCTGACTTCTAAGAGAAATATTTTAAAAGCCTTGTCAAAGCTTTAACAAAACAGTTCTTGGGAGCCCTTATTAACAAAACAATGAAATATAGAGCAGTAAATGTTAACAAGTAAAAGCCCTAGACTTACCTCAGGATAAGACCATTCTGGTGAATAATCTGTCACCATGAACAAGCGCCCACTCTGCTGTAGCAACCCCAAAGTGCCTTGTGCCGCAGCTGCTGAGACCACCTCAGCCACATGCATGTACGCCATCGTGCTGGCTCCGGTCTCTGTGCTGCTGAGCTGCATGTTGGCTTGCTGAGGACTGCAGCAAGGAATGCACATTTCAGCCTGGTTGTAGGTTGCTCTGTTACTGTCTTCAGGCTGAGACAGTCCGGCGCTGTCACCTGACACCAGCTGGTGTCCATAGAGAGCATTGCTCCCACCTTCTACCGATATGAAATCATTAATTAGATCAGAAAACTGGTTACTGAAGGAGATGTCAAAGTGGTCCAAGTTAAGCTCCATGTTGGAGGAGTTATTTAAGTTGGGATGGGCCACAGGATAGAGTCCTTGTACCATGTTTCCTTGGAGAATAGGGAGATTGTTCCCATTCCTGATACCCCCATTGGCCTCAGGCTGCAAGTAGTGTTCTGTGCTGCAGGCTTGAAGATCCCCTGATTTAAGTAGGTTTTCATTCCCTTCTGCCTGCTGGGAGGTCTCCATGGGAACTTCAGCTTCTGCAGTCATAGCCTGGAAGTTTGCTTGGAACTGCATGAGCTGGAGAGAAGAGGTGGACTCTATTCTGGTTTCCACTGTGCCATTACAGTTGGAAGTGGTTTGGGAAGAGGACTCTGTTTTCACACTGGGGATTCCTAATGTGTTCACAAATGAGCCACTTGTGTCATTCAAATTGCTGTGAGTGTTTTGCTCAAGGGGAAGAGGCTTGCTGGCATCCTGCAGAAAGAAGCTGGGGGAAGGGGTCTGATGAACGTGAGGGCTCTGGACGGTCTGATTGAAGCTGGAAGAATAATCCTTGTTGGAGTCAATGGCACTGAAGTCCATCTGCTCCAGGGTGGTACTTGGACTCAAACCTCCTCCAGATGGAAGCAAACCTGAACCAGTAGTGAGGGTGAGAGTGTTAGATGCAGAAGTGGAGGAAAATGCTTCTTTGGACATCTGTTGTTCAAAAGATGTGTCCTCAGTTTTAATTTCTTTTGTGAGGGTTGTGTTGAAGTTGAAACTACGTTCTGTTGTGGGTGACTGCCTTATGTTGGTACTGATGCTGTCACTTTTCATACCTCCTCCACCATAAGTCTGCCCTTGCTTGGGATTGTTAAGAAAACAGTCTGGGTCAAAATTCATGGTGGTTTCTGGAATTTTTCTATTTCCATCTAAAGTTGTGGAGAGCACAAGTTCCTCGGAGACAGTGCTGGGTAGCATCGACAAGCTCTCTGAACTGCCAGTCGTTGGAAAAGCAAATTTGTGTCCGTCTGAACTCACCGCAAGTACTAGTCCTTGTGCAGCTGCATCTGAGGACAGAAGGTGTTGATTTGGGCCGGAGGTGGGTGACATGGTATACACAGCTTCACTAGTGACTTCTGACATAAATACGGTGGCACTTTGTGACAAGCTTCCCATAACTGATGCTACAGCCATACTGGATACGCCAGTGACGGCCGGGCTATCTGCCATATCCGGATCGCTATTTAATCCACTGCTGATGGACACAGGAGAATTCTGGGTCGTGTCGGGGACCTCCACCTGGTTGGTGGAAGAAACCTCAGTGCTGTTTTGATGGAGCAACACCGGTTTCGCCACTTTGCCGTTCCTCTTCTCTCGGCTGGAGGCCTTGCCGTGACTGTGCTCGTTCTTGCCTTCAGAGACATCGTTATTTTGTACCTCTGAATGAGCGCTGTACCCACCTGTCCTTGGTTCGACCTTTGGTGATATGATGCGATGTTTGGCACTGTTACACTTGTGATGCACGCTGCTTCCTGCCCCTGTGCCAGAAAACAACATTTGCCATTCAATAAACGCAAAATTAAGACAATGCTAGTTGTGTATCTTATGGCTGTAGCAAAGGAAAGCTGTGCTTACGCATGTGCGAGTGTGAGCACACATATAAGAGAGCACAAGACACCTTGGAAATAAAAGTACTTTCTTGCCAGTGCCACATTTACAGCTCCCTTTCTGTCTAACACATAGACCCGTTGTGTGCGATGACAGCAACCTCAAAACAGGCACGCGTGCACCCTTCCCCTCACCCCACACTGCACCTACCCCCTTCCTCCCTGCCCCATCAGACAACACATTAGGAGGAGAGGAACTGGCATTTATGACAAATTTCAGAGTTACTTAAACGTGCCTCATCTTAGCGCAAAGTCTGCAAAGCGAGGGCTGCTGCTGTCGACTGCGGCAGAGGGTTTGTGCCTCGCAGGCCCTGCTGCATCTGCACCACGGACAAGACCTCAGCCCCCTGTGACACAGACATGTGGCTCTTCTCGCTGGCTGATTTTGGGTGGTTTGACAACTGCTCTTGTGGGTCGGATGCTGACTGGTAATCTGGAGGTGACAGATGCCATATCATGCTCCTGTCCCTAGCGTCACCCTGCCGCCTGGATTGCAACCCTTATCTTCTTGTCATCACTGCATCTATTACAGCTGCCAATCAAATTATTAAAGAAGTAGTACATTAGCCAGCACAAAGAAAGCTCTCCCTCCCATAAGGACGGTGATGCACGTCTCTTGTTCTAAGCCGTTCATATGCTTACAAATAAACATTTTGTACTGTGAGAGGTCACATGTGGAGCGCACGATTAGTATCGGAGCGGCCGAAGAACACTCAAGCAAAGGTCACCAGAAGACAACCCTCCATGGAGTTCAGCCAGCTGGCGCCTTTACTGGCCCAACAGAAGATGAACATCCCCCAAGTTCCTGGGAGCCTGGAAATCAGGTAGGGTGAAATAAACAATTCTGTCTGCAAAGGCACCTTAGCCACAAACTCTGGTGCAGGGACTGCTTTTGTTGCTTAAAGAACAACAGCCCATGAATTTTTGATGTTTTCTTCCCTAATTGAGTCATTCTCCCCTAGAATAAGGTAAGAACATTAATTATGGTACTGTATAATGACTAAAGGGGGAAAGAAACCTCCTCCTCATAGCTAATGGCTACAATTATAAATGCCATCTTCTGGGTAACATAAAGCGTCCATGTAGCTGCTGCAATTTGCTAAATCTTTTGTTCCTTGCCCTTGAAGGGGAACTTCTCTATTATGTGCTCAAGATTTGAATCAGGTCACCTAAAGTAGTTCAGGACAGTGCTTTTGAGACTAAACGCAGTATTAAATCTCTCTATTCTCTTAGGTATAGGGATGAACAGGAACAAGGGAGAGGCTTTCACGCTGCCGTCTTCGCGGATGACAGTAAGGAATTGGGAATGTAGGTGTCAATGTGCAAGCCGTTACAAAACAAAGTGATACTGTTATGTTAAAAAGCATACAGCAGACTTAGCACAAGACAAAACATCAAAGGGAAGAATAAAAGGATTCATGTTCAGATCTGCAAGCCTGGATCAAATGCTGAGCCTTAAGGGTTAAATTTTAATCAAAACTCAGGTATGACTCAGAGGTCATCATTCTTACTTAAATCTTGATTGTATAATGCAACTGCCCCCCTAAAAAAAAAGAAGAAAAACAAACCCTTTGAAGCACTGACAGCTTTCCTTTATAAATCTTGCTAAAGACTAATTAATGTGTCATATATTTTACTTGACCAAAGTACTAGGAAAGGGTGGCTATAAAGCAGATGAGTTGCACAAGTGAATCACTCCACTTCCCACTCTCTCTATAAAATGCTACTACTAAGGCTGCTGTTTCTTGCTGTCGTGGTCTCACTCAAAACAAAGCCATCTTCTTTAACGGGAAGGAGTCTCCTGTATTTTCACGATACCTAAATAAAACCTGTCTTATCCCAGTGATACCTTGTAATTAATCACGAGAGCCCATTTTCTTCAGCAAAGTGGGCTGCAGGGTAAGGAGTTCAGAGGGCAAAGTGGGAAGAACATCAAATTTTGAGGCTTTGGCAACAAAATTTGAACATGTAGAAGAGAATACGCCTTTCTGAGCAGGTCATGTACAGAGAGCACTTATCATTATAAAGTGTTGACATTTTTTATGTAAGTTCCAGCCGCATCTTTTTATGCTCAAGACTTCTTCTGTCACCTCTGAGTTCACTGTGTCTCAACGTTTCATGATAGAGCATTTTTAGTACTTCAGTACTACAAACCCTACTTCGAGTCTGGATCAAGCTGCAATCATTTTGTGCCCTCCCAAGGTACTCACCCAAGGTACCAGTGCAGAGACAGTTGTGTGTCCGAGGCTGTGGTTTGGTCTGGTGACTGTCCAGGATCTGCTGCACGAGCTGTTCCACTGAGAACCCTGAACTGCTGTTTCCATTGCTGCACGTCCACTTAATGCCATGAACTGCGAAGAGAACAGTAAAACGTCCTGTCAGAAGCTTTAAACACACGCCAGAAACCATCAAAAGCCACTCCAGAAGAACGGCAGAAACTTATTTCTGCTGCTTTTTGTCAGAACTGAAGGAGACCTATAAAAAACAACAGCAATGGTTATTGTTTTACTATTCTCTGCTCCCTGATATCCATAGGCTTCCAAATACAATTCCTGGATTAGGTACATACGGGGGGGGGGGGGAACCCCCAGAAGAGTATCTTTCTCTCTTCCAGTTTGCTGTTAACGGTGGCTCTCTAAACAGAAAATTTGTAAGGAGTACCTGAATAGTGCATGTAACCTTCATTAAAAACCTGAAAGCAACAAAATACTTGTGTTTCACTGAAGTAAAACAGTACAATTCCAAGGAGCATTTTACAATCTTTTTCTGTCTGATACAAAACCCAAATTGGTTAGTTTTATAATAAAACCAGCAGCAGTTTAACAGCAAATACAAACCTTTTGGCAGGTCTTCGTTGTCAGATCCTGGTTGGCAGCAGTGAAGACTGACTCACTTTTTGGGTGTCACTAATAGATACTGTGTGAGTTCATCCTCAGACTTGGGCAACATTTTTAGTAATTTGGGAAAACAGACAGGAGGGTGACAGTACAGAGCATGTTGCAAAATGAAGTTCTTGGGGACACTCTTGGCCTGTTAGCTATTTAAATAAGAATGCTAAACTGCATGCACAGAAATTATTTGAATAAAGGTTCCCTCTCAGAATTTTTTAGATGCAGAATTTCATGTAAAAGCGATATTCTCAACCTGACTTACAATGGAAACGGCATTTATGAAATATTTTCTCCGTAATAACTGACTCAACACATCTTCTGTCTCCTTTAGTGTCTCTTTAAGCAATTTATATCTGCATATTAGTTATTTATCCTTTGTGTTCTCTAGAGCTCACTTGCAGACTTTAGAAAGTGCTGGCTGGTGGCCGCATTAGTTCCAAGACTTCCCCATGCCTGGCAGCTCAGGCCTGAAGAGCTGCTTCTTTTCAGGAGCATCTTTGTCATACTCTAGCAAAGCAGGTTCCTTGCACGTTGTATTCTAAAATCCCTAACCAGAATATGCTAAATCAAAGTTAAAAGTCCCATGGACTTCAACTTTGTAGGATTAACTCCTAAATACAGAGATCCCTGTGTGGTAAAGGTCCTTGATGGGAGGTCATGAAATGCTGGCAACAGCCCATCGAGCTGATCATTGCTATACAGCCAGAAGTATCTGCAGACTCTGGAGCAACGAGCTGTAAGCTGCTTCAAGCAGGAAGATCAGAAGCAAATGAGGGTGCATCTATGACAGCTAATGACTGCTGCCAAAGAGGCAGGATATCACGCCAATCTCCTATTCTCCCCTTCGATGCTGCTTGCTTGGTACGCCATAAGCAGCCAGTGGAACAGAGCTCCTGGATATGCTCCGTGAAGCAGTTTTATTGCTTGCTTTATCACCTGTTGCTGTGTTGCCTCATCACCCACACTGATGTTACTTTGCCTAACAGCATCTCATCTTGGTCTAGTTTTATATTACAGAATTCATATTTTTATCGGCTGGGCTGGATAACTTGCAGAAATATTGTAAATAAGGTTTATAAGTATTCTTCCTCATATCACTATTTAAAGTGCTGCAGTTAGTTTAGTAATGAGTCCCTCTCTGCTTGCTTGACAACCACATTTATTGTTATTGTACCCAACAGATTTTGCTTTCTAGTATGTTCACAATTTTGAATTTCCTCTTAACACTCAGTATCTGTTATTATGTCTAAGTTAAAGTTTATATATCCTTACGGCTTCGATACCTCCGCTCACGTTTGTTTTATTATTCTAGGTACGTTATTCTGTCACATGTGATGTTATGCCTAACAACTGATGTTCAAATAGCAGTTTTGCAAAAAAATACATTGACAGTGAGATTAAAAAGCAGTAATGTATTTGGAATACTTTTGGCTATACCATATGAAGTTACTGAACTGTAATTATTACTGAGAAACTTTGCATTAAATTATTTCCAGTTACTTCAGAAATGCTCTGCCAAGAAGTGAGCTCGCATACATGTTGCTACGTATAGAAAGTCTATTTTCCAGCAGGATGTCCAAGTTTGCTCCCTACTGCTGCTACATCCAGTGATGAGCAGCGTATTGCAGGGGACAAGTCTGGGAAGTGAATTGTGTCTCATGGTTTGTGTATTCACAATGATGGCTCTGAAGTCTGAATCAAGCTGTGAGCTGGAAGCCAAGAAATAATGGACAGCTTTATGGTTGGATACTTACAGTACTATGCCTATTATTTTCAGGTCCTTCCAGAATACCAAAGTCCTATCATGGATCTATTGCTGCTGAGGAAAGGTCCTTCTCTAGCCTCGCTCCAGCTGATCCTAAAGGGCTCTGGCTTCAGCCTCTGTCCACAGGGTGTGACTCTTTTAGTGCTTCTGCTCCCCGTATGTTATGAAGGTTATAAAATAAAAAGCCAGTGAAGGGTGACAGATTGCAAAAAGAGAATGTATGGATGCTTAATGCAAATTATCCACTATCTCGGCACATCCAATATGCAGATTTTCTCCCTCCCCCTTTCAAAAAAAAAAAAAACAAACTCCTGTGAGCTGGTGAGTTGTTAGTACTGAATACCAAATACCATCAAGATGGCTTTTAACATGTCACGCTTGGCTTCCTGACACATAATGAATCAGCAGGCAATATAGGGAAGAAAGTGCACTGTGAAAGGAAGGTTAATAAAAAGCATACACACACACACTCTGTTCCTGTTTCTTAGCGGTTCAAAAAGTCAAACTACTTCTGATTAGATACAGTCATAATGTAAGAACACAAAAAAAAGATTGAAGCTTAACAGAAATTCTGGAAAGTATTATAATCTGGACTTCTGTTCAGACTCCTCCTGCATTTCCTTATAATTCAAAATGAGATCTGTGAACTGCTCCAAGACTTTCCAGTGATACCACAAATAGGTCTAAAAGCAGCTACATTATAGCAGCAACATATTCCTTGCCACGCACAGCCTGCACAGTGCCTGTAGCATCGAGGCAGTGGAACCAGGGAGAATGACTGGTATTTCACTGGGTGCTTGAAGAAAAGCGAGGCTGGAGGAAGGTCCACAATTCAGAGTGCTAATGCTGCTTCTAGCACAAATACCTCCAACCTCTTTTTGTGAGCATGGACTCACACCTTGCTTCTGTTTTGATGAAAAGACAATAAAAATGACCTTCCGGTGTTGGCCCAGCAGCTCCTCATTCATTAGTGCTGTCAGGACTTTGTCTGACCATCACAAGCAAAGGAATGAAGAGTGATCTAGATGATTACCAGCAAAAAGGCAGCTCAGAAGCCAAAGGAAACTTGCATGCAGAAAAATAGGATTGTCCGTGTTTCTTACACCCGCATGGCTATTTCTGCCTTCTTCCGCTGCCACTGGTACTCAGTCCTCCATGATTACCAGGTCTGCAGTCCTCCAGTCTTGCAGTTTTCTTCCTCTTCCTCATCACCTCAAGCCTACCTTACTGTCTCACCTCCATTCCAGACAGACCACCACCAATGGCTAAACCTCTGACCAGTTCCCTCTCTATGGTTTCCCCCACCCTAAGTAAAACTTGTCCCTAAAATACCTTCCCACATTTAAATCTGATAATTTCACCCTGAGTGCTCTTAGACATTCCTCTTTGCCACTTCATCCATTTTACGCAACAAAGATTACATCTCCCACATGAAACGGAGAAGTTGGATAGACTAACAGAGCTAGAGTATTTGGAATAATCAAGGTCATGTTTCTGTTTGCCTCTCCCTCTTGAGGCATCTCAGACGGCCCACTGCAAACCCTTGTGTGAGAGTCCTGCCTTCAGCTGCTCCTGATCAACACAAAATACTTAAAAAAAATTCCTGCAAGCATTGACCATAGCAGGAGCAGGTCCTTTGGACCACCGTCCTGCTGATGGGAATGAAAGCCTGCCTTGCTTCCTGCATCCTGCTCCACCAACTGTTGACACTGGGAGGCTGTTTCCATGGCAATGGTCAACTGGAAAGGGCAGCCCTGTCCCTTCAATTTTTACCGTGTTGGTGTTGACAGAAGTAAAGGCCTTGCTCTGATTTCTCAGTTCAGCTGGAGGAGATTTCCATTAGATTTATCATTTCTCATCTGGATGCCCACACACAATTCAGCTTTGATTTTTCCAGCCCTACCCTTCCACTCATTATTGGTTATGAAGGAAAGATTTCCTGAGTCTCACTGCTAGGGATGCATGCAGGGAAGATCACCACGCGCATTTACTGTTTCTTCACGACGCTTCACAAATTTTAATGTCTTTGTAAAGGACTTATACAGACGTTTCACTCTCAGCCATTCTTTAAAGAGAAGACTTTCTTCCAAAATGAGACCTTTCCTTAAAGGTTTGCTCAGATGCAACAGGATGCTTAATAGCAAGTGGGAAGTACTTGTGGTTCAGTTGCCCTCAGAGGGGACCACTAGGACCCAACTCTTCTGAAGCTGCTTGGAGCAAGACTTCTGTGACTTTTATTTACAGCTAAAGGAATTTTTACTTACAGGCACCTGAAGTTCAAGGCTGCTCACACATGAAAGAGCAGTGCTTAAGCTAACTCTCTCAAACCGTTCTCCCAGGCCACCTGTGTGGTACTCACCTGTAATAAAAAGCAGATCCTGCCAGTTCTTGCCTTTGACGATGTTCATCAGGACAAAGCTGCTATCGCTGGGCTGCTCCCTTCCACAAGACTTGT